AATTAAAGCATCTCAAAAATAGTTTTAATTCTATTTTGGTAGCAAAAACTTACCAGAAAAAGACCTTTTAATATCTAATTCTCTCAGAAATCACCTATAGTCCTGGCTTTACTGAACTTGTACTAAACTTTATCTTGACCTCCAGTTTTTGAACTTTTCACTTTTGCCAGTTCTTTCTGGTTTCACCTGGACTCCACCCATGCCCCTTCATGGTGGGCATTAAACAAGTTTATTCCCATTAACCACAGTTGCCTTCTGTAAACATCACTGTGTCTTTCAAATTAATTTCCCATGTACACTTTAGAAAAAACAGCTGTGATACTATATGTAAACTTTATATCCTACTTTTGAACTTCACATTATAATAAAAGTACTTCTCATGCTGTTAAAACCCCTTATAAGTGGCTATACATTTTTTTTTTTTTTTTAAGAGACAGGGTCTCACTATGTTCTCTTGGCTGGCCTAGAACTCATAGGCTCAAGTGTTTCACCCAACTCTGCTACCGAAGTACCTGGGACTATAGGATCACACCACCCAGCCTGGCTATAAATTTTAATTACAAAAATAATAATTGCTTATTGTAAAAAATATTAAAAATATCAAAGTTATCAAAAGAAAAATTAAATTTAAAAAATGCAAACTATAGAAATAGGATATAAACTTAAATTATTCTTTGGGACCACTCTCACTGGAATCTTACTGATAAATCCTGTTATCTATATGTAAACATATTTCATATATGTAAACATTCTTTTTCTATATGTAAACATTCTTCAATAGGCTATTTAAAAAACAAATAGAACACATGATACTCTGGCACACAGTAAATATGTAGACATCTTTCCATGTAAGACCATACACATCTGTTTATTTTAGACTCATAGTTCCTTACTGATGGACATTTTCTTTGCCACAACTTTTCACTATTACAATCTTGCAGTGAACATTGTTACACACATATCTTTGCATATTGTATTCCTACAGAAGTCCTAAAAATGGAACTATTGGGTCTAAGGACATAAATTATCTCTAATGGCTATCTAATATTCCACTGACTACATGTGCCACTCTCCTTTGATGGAACATTCAGATTGCTCCCCAGGCTTTTCTCAGATTGATAAGCAAAATATTCCAATGGGGGAAATAGTACATACATGGCTCAAGGTAGCAGTGCTGACAGAAGGAGACTAGCAGACTTTAGAAAGACTGTCACATATGCTACATAGCTAAAATTAAAAAACCAAAAACAAAAAAAAATCAAGGCTGAGTGCAGTGGCTCATGCTTTTAATCTCAGCTATTTGAGAGGTGGAGGT